TTCATAGGAATATTTGATGGATTAGGGTGAAAGTGTGCTATTTGATTTTGAGGAGTTGGGGAAAGAGGGAGAGATGAAAGAAGAAGGAAAAAAAAACAAGAGTAGGAAATATTTTTCACAAAAAAATATATGAGAAGTATTTGTTATTTAAGACCAAAAGATTATGTGGTGGAATATGTTTCACTGCACTTGATAGAGTAAGCATTCTTTCTCTTTATAGGTTGGCAGTTAGTGATTCAACATTTCTTCTTAGTCTCACACTTTCATTCATTGATTAGTTTAATTTTCAGGGAAGTAAATGTATTCACATACTTCAATGATGAAGTAACCTAAAGCCATATTTACTATTTGTCTCTTTCCCAATTCTGAAAATATTACTTAGTTCATCATGTTCAAAAAGGTAGGTAAACATTTTTAGTAGTTGTGTGTGTGTGTGTGTGTGTGTGTGTGTGTGAGAGAGAGAGAGAGAGAGAGAGAGAGAGAGAGAATCCATCCAATCTTCATGGAAATGCAGAATATGAACAAATGTTGTTTCTTCCCCTACTCTTTGTCATCCCAAGGGTTTATACCTTGTTCTGTGCTCTGCTTTTCTTCTTTTCACATTAATCCTGCAGTATTTCTGTGTCAGTAAAGGGAGTGTGTACTCACTCTGCTTTCAGCCACACACTTTGTTATTGTTTAGATGTTTCTCACTTCTTTCATATTGTAGATTGTCATTCACTAATTTGCCAGGATCAACTCTTCTATTTATTAATGTGTTCTAAAAATTTTTTAGAACCATTTATAGTTACAAGGTAGACGCGAATACTTTGAGTTACTATCAGAAAAACCCGACACAAATGCATGCCTTCCTTTGACCAAGTGGCCCAGTGTGGGGAATATGGAGATGCTGGTTAGGCACATATATGAAAATGTAAGACAATAGCACTTTATTTTTCAGAATAATATACAAAAAATATAAACTCCTATATAAAGGTGACCCAGTAGATCTTTTTTCCTGTCATAACTCCTTATATTTTTGAAGAAATAAATCTCAACTCGCAAAATCAGATGTAGAAGACATATTAATCCTGAAAATTCTACCTAATTTTAATTTCAAGATTCCCATCTCATCATGTTGTTCATAAACTCCTTTACAGTTATTGTTAAGCTCCTTCCACAGGATCATTTCTGAAGGTCGAGAGTTCATTAGGACAGCACTTTTCACATAGTATTATAATGATCCAACCAAACATTTTTGCTTTTACTCAGAAGTGAGTTGTTTTTTTAAAGATCATGTATTTGAAAAGCAGAGTGACAGAGATTGGGAGAGACCGAGAGATCAATCTTGTATCCACTGGTTCACTCCCTAAATGGCCAGAATAGCTAGGTCTGGTCCAGGCCAAAGGCAAGATCCTGGAATTCCATCCTGGTCTCCACATGGGTGGCAGGGGCCCAAGTACTTCAGCCATCTTCTGATGCTTTCCCAGGAACAGTAGCAGGGAGCTGAAATGGAAGTGGGGCAGCACAGACTCTAACTGGTGCTCCAATATGGGATGCCAGAATCAGAAGTGGCAGCTTAATCCAGTGCATGACAATGCTGTCCCCAGAGGTGAGTGTTTATAATGAAGAAATCCAATAGTTTAAAATTTTGTGTTATATAATATAATGTTTTACAAAGTAGACAGTTGGTAATTGGTTTTACAAGGGCAGGAAGTGTGTAACTGGTTCCTGTTCCAGAAATGAATCTTCTTGGTTAAAGTGATGTAACTAATGATTTGCAACAGATTTAGAACATTTACAGCCAGGATTTCCTCATAAATAAAGACAAAGGGACTAGAACTAAGTGATCAGATGTATTATGATCTTGTTGACTTCCTTCCTTAGCCATACTCGGATTTCTTTCACCACATTCTGTCCCCTGGTTTGTTACTTACCTTGAGAGCTAATTATAATGTTTTTTAGTCTTGAAATGTATTTCCTCTTGGTCTTCTTGTCTGAAGTGGGCTGGAGATGCAGCATGGTTTGTGGTTAGGAGCACGGACCTGGAAGTGAGACTCCTTGCTGCTGAATTCTGGCTCTGCCAGTCCCTTGCTAAGGCACTTGAGAAAACGAAGTCTCTCTGTGCCTCACTTTCCTGATTTGTTAGAGTAGTGTTGATTTCATGGAGTTGATGTTAGTATCTGTGAGGTGCTGAGAGTATAACCTGCACAAAAGTGAGAGTTCTGTTTTTTAACTTGAGGGGTGGAGAGAGAGAGAGAGAACAAGAGAGAATGAGAATTCTCAAGCACTGATTCATTTCCCAAATGTTCACAAGAGCCAGGGCTGGGCTGGGGCTGAAGCAGGAGTCAGGAATGCAGTCCAGCTTTCTGTCATGGGTGGCAGGGACCTAACCATGGGTTCATCACTGCTGCCTTCCAGGATCTGCATTCAGTAGGAAGCAGGAGGTGGGGGTCAGAGATGGGCATTCAAACCAGCACTCTGAAATGGGACTCAGGCATCTTAACTGCAGGCTTCTCCACTGGGCCAAGCATCCATCCTCCAAATAATGGTTTTTATGTTCTTATTTTTTCCCAGCCCAGAGATAGAACTGAGCATTGCTTGAACTTCAAAGTCCTTTTGAATTCTCAGTTTATGTTGCTCACACTTGCCTTCTGTTAAATTGAATATTAATTATCCTTTTGGTGCCAAAAGAAGACTAGGGCTCCTAGGACTGCCCCCAGAGAATATCTTGACTCTGAACCCTCCTATCCTAACCCCTCCCTAGAACTTCTGCAAACTCTCCTGAAACTTCTTTCTCCCCTTCCACTTAATGGAAACTGCTTTCTCCCCATCCACAGTTACTGCAAGGAAAATAAAGTATCTCAAAACAAGAAAGAGAGAGAAAGACAGAAGACACTAGAGATGACGATACTAGATCCTGTGAGAGGGCTGATTTCTGCATCTGAATATCTCCTTCACTTCATAGCTATCCTTTCATCCTCACTCCAGAGAAAGATGCTTCAATATAAAACTCATATTTGGCTTTGCTCACATACATTCTTTCTTGCTTTGAGTATGTCATCCATTATTGAATCTGAGACCCAAGGGTGAAGACCCATATTGGTCAGTGGCAAATTTTGGTTCACTTAAGGCACACAACTCCCAGTTTAGGTCAAGTACCAACTAGTTATGCTGCCTCTCAAAATAATCTACCTTGTATTTCTAGGACAGGGCATTTGACATAGCAGTTAAGATACCACTTGAGATCCCTGAATCTTAGGTTTGAGTGCCAAGGTCTGAGTATCAGCTATTCTGCTTCCATTCCAGCTTCCTGCTAAAGCACATCCTGAGATGCAGCAGTTGTTAGCCCAAGTACTTGGGTTCTTGCTGCCCATGTGGGAAATCCAGAACAAATTCTAGGCTCCTGGCTTTGGCCTGCCTCAGCTCCAGTTGTTGGCAATCTGCAGAGTGAAGCAGCAGATGGAAGATCTCTCTCTCTTCTTTATTGCTCTGCATTTTCAAATATATAAAAACTCATATATTTCTTCCTTTTAATGTGCAAAATATTTCCTTGCCATGTCTTTCATTTGCTCATAAAAATCCACTCTGACTTCTTCTGTGAGAAGTTCCATAATCAAAACCACTTTTGTTCTTTTGTCATACATAATCCGATACTTTTCTTCTTTTCCTGAAACCCCTACATGACACCTACTCAGAACAGCACACCTGGTTTTTACCTCTGATGTCCCTCAGCCTTTGTTGCTATGTGATTTAATCTCAGTATTCTATTGGGAATCATATGGAAATATAAGCAAAAGGTTTACTGAACAAACAGTGATAAAGATTGATCAGAAAAAGGTTTATTCATTAAGTCTGTTATTACTATTTTATTTTGTTTAAAGAATACAACTTCATGCATTTAATATATGCAGATTCGGGAACATGATGATTCTTCTCCTCCACCATGCCTCCCACCCATACTCCTGCCTTCCTTCTCCTCCCTCCTCATTTCCCATTCTTAATTCTTACAGAGATCAATTTTTCAGTTAATTTTTATACTCATAAAATTAACCCAACCCTAAGTCTTTTTATACAAAAATAGTTTTTTTTCTGATGTCTTTTTTATCTCATGTCTTGAGAACAGGGATACCAGTCAAGCACCTGTCATTGATATGGCCTTCAAGCATTTTCTCCATCTGTGGTGGAGAAGGAAAAGAAAATTCAGATGGACTTGCATTTCTGTGAGCAAAGACTATTCCTTCTCTTTGTTCCAGGTAACAGTGTGACTCAGGAAATCCCAATAGTTTAGTGGGAAGTGAGCTCTATGGCACATTATTACCCAAGAGACCCTCTGAACCCTCTAAGATTTTGACAGAATCACTGGTATTCTCCAATACATGTGTTGTTCTATAATTGTATGCAGTACAAATAGCCTGAGGTCTATGAAGCATATTTAACCAAAATTTTGAGAAGAGGAGATGTGGGGGACAAGCCAAGAAATTCTGACTGCATTTTGAGGGCATGGGAATCATTTACCTTTGCTGCAAGGAGCATTGTACTCAGCAATTGCAAACTTATCTAAAAGACAAAAACCATTGTTATCTAAGAGGGAAAACAGACATCTGTGGGATACAGGCCAGTGGAGGAATCTTTGTTGTGGAAAGAAGTATAATGTATCAGAAACATTATCATCTTTCACTTGATGCTCTGATTGCTGCTTTGTATTGTCCTTTCAAACACAATGTATTTTGTCCCTATTCTTGATTGATAGTTCAGATGTAATATTTATTTAAATCTTATGTTTCCCTACAGTTAATTTATCTGATGAAAAGAAAACTGAATGCCCTACAGTAGTTGATAAATTTACAGTGTAGGTAATTTCTACATTGTATATAGAAGACAAAAGTGGAGAATCACACTTAATGGAGATAAAATGAAGTGATAAGAGAATTTAATTCAATAAATAATCCCAATGCTCTTCTCAAATTCAATTTCTGTGATCAGCATTTAATTGCCATGTGACATTCACTCTTACTCACCTGTCTCTTGGTAATCATAGACTTTCACTATGGCTGGCTTCAGATCGATTACTGGAATTTCTTGCACAACTGTGAAGGACAAGCTCAGTGTTTGGTTTGATACCTAGAAAGCAAAAGGGAATTAAATGATCTTCCTGGAACCTTTCTTCTCTCTTTGAGCAAATTTAAGTATTCACCTGTCTGGGTAAAAGAACTTTATCAACTAATAGTCTACTGTGAGGTTCTTATATCACACAGAAAGCCCTCAGAGTGTATAAGAAATTCCCCCCAACAACTTACTTCTTAACTAACATATCTCATATGTCCCTATAAATACCAATACCTATCTATTCATAGAGAGTTAATGACACATACTTTTGATTGGTTGCCTATCTGTGTTCATTTTTAACTATCCAGAGATTTGGTACAATTTCACTTCTGAAGCTTGTAGAAATACTTCCATAGACTCAAAGACATATATGAAAAGTTGATCATTGCAGCTTTGTTTCAGTTTTGTAAAATTTACAAACCATAATTCCAATCAATATATGTTTGGATAAACTATGATACCATGTGTATCTAGAAGATCAGATACGTTTATTGGTGGACTGGTCTTAGTATTTTATGGTCCAAGTCCTTAGTGAGCTTGACAGTATTACACCTTTCATATTATTGGTGGGGGCTGCAGTTACAATAATTGACTAGTCACAGTGGTTACTTCCCCACATTGATTAGTATCTTCAAAGTAACTGTGGATATCATGAGCACATTTTGTGGAGAATTTCTTGCTCAAGGGTCTTAGAAATATTTACATCCCATTATTATAAGTCATTTTACCAAGGTGTAAATATATAAAATGAGAGGAGAACATTCATTGGAATTAATATTGGAAATCCCAAGTTTCTAGCATGGAGGAGAGGTCTCCTCAATGCATTCATCGAGTTCCAGGTGACTCGTGAGAGGGATTCTCACACAGAGGTTTTGTGACTATACTGTCAGGGCTCTCACCTTATCCAGGTAAATCAAGACATGGTTGGTGCTCACTTCTGTCTGGTTCACATGGTCAGATCTTTCGAGCTGAAGACAATTCAGACACCACAAGTATTAATAAATAACATTCACTTACAAAACATCTGGAGGATCCATAGAAAAGCAGATTTTCTTCTTACCAACATGCGCCTGGGGATATAATTCCTTCAAATTACCTTGTTTACCTTTTGCAAGCAAAGAGGTAATGTAGTAAAATTAAAAATAAAGAGCAATTTGATTGAAAGGTTTAATATTGGTATGGCACATGACCTAGGTGTGAAGTGGATTGTCTGAAGAAAAAATAAATCAGGGTGCCTTGTGATGGGGGCCGCCGAGAAGCAGCACGCCCCCGTCCCCCTCCTTGGCCCCCAGTCCCACATGGCCTGAAAGGAGCCAAGAGCCACCATAAAAAAATGGGGCTCCTGAGACAAACCGTTCCAGAGACGGCCTTGGGAAATGGGGAGTAAACCGGTTCACAGAGAAAGCAGTCAGCTACTAACCAGAGATACACAAAACACCTGCCTTGTAGATAAGCCCCTTCCCTACGCTTGCTCAAGGTTAACAAAGAAAGCTGCAAGGCACGTAGCAACCTATTCCTCTCTCCTAGAAACCCCCTCCCCTAATGTATCCCTTTGACCTAGTACTTTTCCACCGACATTACCACTTTTAGACTGCCATACAAGGCCCGCTACTGAAAATTATCCAATGAACTTACGCCAGCCTATAATATGTTAATTTTGTGGTTTTGCCCTTTAAAAGCTGTGTGAGATAGCTGCTCGGGGCTCCTCTCGCTTGCTTGCTGCTTGCAGCAGTAGAGGGCCCATTTGTACAAATGAAATAAAATTACCTCCTGTTCTATTGCATCATCTGGTCCGGAGTCTGTGTTTCTGGGATCGTCACAAGAGGACACCGCTTTTGGGGTCCTACAGGCCGCTGCCGGGGCGCCCCCTTTCCGTAGGCCCCCGCGGGAAGGCCATGGGGCTCCCCGCCCTGGTTCCCTGGGTCGGGGCCACAGGTGCGATGGTCGGCTCCCTGGGGACATGGCGCCTGCCTCCACTGTGGACGGGTCCGGTGAGAAGCGAGGCCCCGAGTCCCCGCCGCTCCCGCAGCCCAGTATGGGTGTGTGGAGTTCAGCAAGTCGTTCTGCTGGTCCTCGTGGCTGCTGCACCACCAGCACACGCACACGGGCGAGTGGCCCTACAAGTGCCCAGACTGCCCCAAGGCCTTCAAGGGCTCGTCCCTGCTGCAGATCCACCGCAGTGTGTACATGTGGCTCCGCGCCTTCACCTGCGGCCAATGCAGCCTGGCCTTCAAGTGGTTGTCCCACTAGCAGTACCACCTGTGGCAGCACACGGGCGAGCGCCCTTAGGCCTGCGGCGTCTGCGACAAGAGCTTCGCGCTGGCAAAGTCCTGGTGACCAAGGACTACCTATAGCCGCCCAGCCCGCCCGCGCCCCCCGACCCCCGCCGCCGCCCCGGCCCCTGGTGCCCGAGTTGTTTCTGGCGGCCACTGAGACCAAGGTGGAGCTGGTGTACCGCTGCCATGGCTGCAATCAGGGCTTCGGCAGCGAGGAGCTGCTGCTGGAGCACCAGCCATGCCCCAGGCCCCAGGACACGCCCCGTGAGCAGCCCAAGGCCGACCCTCTGGCGTCGCTGGCCCCCGGGTCCTCTCTGCCACAGCCCGCGCCCTTCGCCGCGCCCGGCTTTGCCTGCCTGCCCCGCGGGAAGCCCTTCCGGACGGTGGTCGGCCTCTCCTGCCACCAGCACAGCCACGGGCTGGCAGGTGGGCAGGCCTTCCGCTGTGGCAGCTGTGATGGCGCCTTCCCGCAGCTGGCCAGCCTCCCGGCGCACCCGCAGTGCCACGTGGAGGAGGCGGCGGCCGCGCGGCCGCCCCCGCAGGCCGAGGCGGCCGAGGCCACCTGCCCCCAGGAGCCGCTGGTTCCCGCCGCCCCGCCCCGCCGTCGCTGGCCCCGCCTGTCCCGGCCTCTGCGGAGCGCCCCTACAAGTGCGCAGAGTGCGGCAAGGCCTTCAAGCGCTCCTCCCTGCTGGCCAACCACCAGTGCGTGCACACGGGGCTGCGCGCCTTCACCTGCGGCCAGTGCGGCCTCACCTTCAAGTGGCTGTCCCACTACCAGTACCACCTGCGGCTGCACTCGGGCGAGCGCCCCTATGCATGAGGGGAGTGCGGCAAGGCCTTCCGCAACACGTCGTGGCTGCGGCGCCACCACCACGTGCACACGGGCGAGTGCCCCCACGCCTGCGGCGTCTGTGGCAAGAGCTTCGCCCAGACCTCCAACCTGCGGCAGCACCAGCGCGTGCACACGGGCGAGCGCCCCTTTGCCTGCCCTGTGTGCGGCCGCGGCTTCTTCATGGCCGCCTACCTGCAGCGGCACATGCGGACGCACGCCCCTGGCGGCGCTGCGGACGCCGCAGCCCCAGCGGCCGGCCTGCATGCGCCTGCCCCGCTGGCCGCCGCCTGGGCCCCGCTAGCCACGCAGGACGTGCACGTGCTCCCCAACCTCCAAGCCACGCTCTCCCTGGAGGTGGCGGGGGGTGGGGAGAGCGCGGCCCTGGCCCCGGCCCCGGGCCCAGCAGCTCCCAACTCTCAGACATTTCTCCTAGTGCAGACCGCCCAGAGCCTCCCGCTGATCCCCAGCAGCCTGCAGCCCCTCACACCCCGGCCCCGCCCGCACCCCCCAAGCTCATCCTGCTGCCCTCCGACGGCGCTGGGGCCCGGTGCGGCCGCGGGAGGCCGTCTGAGCGGGCAGTGGGGAAAGCTGGTCAGGGGGCGGGAGTCATGTGGCTGCCAGGCCCTGGAGGTCTAGGGGGACAGGGAGGGGGCTTTGCAGGCGCTGGTGCGGGAGGGCAGAGTCTGATTGTGCTGCAGAACCTAGGAGGCGGGGAGGCAGGGCCGCAGGAAGTGAGTGAGGTCCAGCTGCAGGTGGCCCAGGAAGTGACCACGGTGCAGCTGCAGCCCGTGGCGGGCCAGCTCTCGGGTTCCAGCGGGGCAACTGTGACAACTGAGGCCCCCAACCTGCTGGTGGTGCAGGTGGAGCCGCAGAGAAGGTGCTCAGGGGCCCAGGCCCTGGGAAGGCGGGGGACGCGGAGGCCAGCATGGGGGTGGTGCAGGACGTCCTTTTCGAGATGCTGCAGATGGACGAGGGGCTGCAGGGCGTGCTAGTGCTGAGCAGAGTCAACCGGGAGCAGGCCCGGCTGTGTGTGCAGGAGGTTGAGACCCTTGTCCCTGGCCTCAGCGAGCCGCCCGCCCCCGGCACGCCCTGGCAGAAGCTTCTTATCATCCTCAGCGCCCTAGCCAGCGAGCTGTTGGAGAGCAGCAGCACCAGGGGAGGCGCTGCTATGCTGCAGCTCCTGGCCCCTCTGCCGCTGCTGCCTGACCCTGTTGCTGCCCCTGGCGGGCTCCCAGCTGCTCCCCGGCCCAGATGGAACAAGTGGTCCCCACAGGAGCTGGGCTGGCGTCTGACCCCGCAGGTCCTGCCCTCCATCCAGATCCTGCAGACCCTGACCTCCATCCAGCTGGTGTACATGTTTTGAGGCCCCACGGGTGCCCGCACCTGCCTCACGCAGACCCCACCTACACACTGCAGGATCTGTGGGCCAGTCTTGGTTAATAAGGATCGCGGATTTCTAAAAATAAAAAAATAAAAATAAAAATAATTAAATATCCTAAACTGGAAAGTTACCCATAATTTAAGGTTCAATTCCCATTCTATTTTTCATGAGTTTGTTTGCTTTAACTTAGAGTAATCTCATTTTAAATAAAAGTTTAAAAAAATAAAAAATAAAAAAATGCCAATGACTTTCTTCACAAAGCTAAAAAAAAATAGACACTAAAATTCATATGGAGACACATATGATCCCAAAGAGCTAAAGCACACTTAAGCAATAATCAATACTGGAGGTACCACAATACCAGATTTCAAGATATACTACTGGGTTGTTATCATCGAAACAGTCCGGCACTGGCCCCCAAACAGACATAGACCAATGGAACATAACAGAAATTAACCCATGTATCTATAACCAACTAATCACTAGCAAATGACCTAAAATAATTCCCTGGAGAAAGGAAAGTCTCTTCATCAAAAGGTGGTGGGAGGGCCAGCGCTGTGGCGAAGTGGTTTAAGCTGCTGTCTGCAGTGCCGCCATCCCATATGGGCACCGGTTCAAGTTCCAGCTGCTGAACTTCTGATCCAGCTCTCTGCTATGGCCTGGAAAAGCAGTGAAAGATGACCCAAGTCCTTGGGCCCCTATACCATGTGGGAGACTCGGAAGAAGATCCTGGCTCTTGGCTTCGGATAGGTGCAGTTTCAGCCAACTAGGGAGTGAATGAGTGAATGGAATACCTCTCTCCCTTTCTTTCTTTCTCTCTCTCTCTTTCTGCCACTCCTTCTCTCTGACTTTCAAATGAGTAAAGTATTAATAAAATGGTAATGGGAAAATAGATTTCTCAATGCAAAAGTATGAAACAAGACCCCTACCTTATATCCTAAACAAAAATCAACTCATAGATCAAGAATCTAAACACCTGAAACCACTAAATATCTTTTATATTTTTTTAAGATTTATTTATGTACTTGAAATTCAGAGTTACACAGAGAAAGAAGGTGAGGCAGAGAGAAAGAGAGGCCTTCCATCCACTGGATCATTCCCAATTGGCCACAATGGCCGGAGCTGCATAGATCTGTAGCCAAGTGCCAAGAGCTTCTTCCGGGTCTTCCATGCGAGTGCAGGGACTCAAAGACTTGGGCCATCTTCTACTGCTTTCCCAAGCCATAGCAGAGAGCTGGATTGAAAGTGTAACAGCCAGGACTCGAACTGGTGCCCATATGGGATGCTGGCACTGCAGGCGGCAGCTTTACCCACTATACCACAGTGCTGGCTCCATGAAACCACCAAATTTCTGCAGGAAAACATAGAAGAAATGCTGTAAGACACTGCCCTAAAGAAAGATTTCTTGGAAAGACTACAGAAGCACAGCAAATAAAAGCAAAGAGAAGAAACCAACAGAATGGGAGAAAAGAATCCCAA